AGCGTTACACTGTTTCAGAACACTGCTTACTCAGCAATTGTCTGAGTAACACTAACAGGCGGCGAACCAGCAGCATAGCACAGTCGGTCTACCAGCTGTCTGGATGGCATTGTAAGGGCAACCCTGGAGACTCCGACGAAAGCCTAGCAGGGGAGGATCCAAGACGTGAATAAAAGCTACAGGAAATACACGGAGGGACCGACCTAGCAGGGGAGGATCCAAAGAGAAGAAACTCTAAGGGTCTGCCTGCTAGGGCGCCAACTATATACTGGTCGTCCGTAACTGCCGACGAGAGCGCAGAAAGCCTGAGCTGAGCGGCGTTGCAGGCTCTGTCCCAAGGTGATCGTTGGGAGGGTCTTGACGGATCAGTGATTGTGCGGGCGAAGGAGGCCGAGGACGAGGGTTGGGGTAGGTCGGAGCGTCCGAGGGGGCGCCGGTCGGATGTGCCTCGGATGCGCTCGGATGGTCTGAAGGAGGCCGAAGTGGGGGTTCCCCTGACAGGCATATGACTATGGTCAGGCCCAGTTTCAATGGGCCTTGAAGTTAACTTGAGCTTAGGTTGGACTTGCACCAACTCCAAGCCTCAAGACTGGTCTGGTGTGATGCGTGACATCAGGTATCAAAAGCTTTGGCTTGGGCTAGCACCGTCACGTGGGGGAGTTCAATGTTGAGTCGTGGTGATTATTTACTTGCTTGCTTGCTTGGTGTGTGGGGAGCTGGGGGAGGGAATACTGACCCATTTCGATCAATTCAGCGGGCCTGTGACCCGTGACCGTTTGGCCGAAATGTCCAACCGGCCACAGGCCGAATTTCGCGTGACCTATTACCCGATTGGGAAGTTCGGCGGCGCCGCAGGCTCGAAAATTTCGAAATCTTCCCGATTAGGACAGTTTGGGACCAAAAGATTTGGCTGTGACCCGTGACCCGCCGAAATATTTCGGCCAAAAAATCCGATGTGACCGTGACCCGCCTAATTGAATGAAATAGGTCAGTATCCTACACTGATCTGGAAGTCGCAGGTATTGGCCCTTGTTGCGTCACTGCCTCCGCGTCTTCCGTCCACACTTAAAGGGCTCAGTGTGATGGGAAGGTCATCCCGGCAGTCCGACGCGGACACAGTGATTGCGCCCGAACGCGAACCGCGGTGCCCGACCCCGACAGGCTGCTGGCGCAGTTGCGCTCACGCTGCCCGTCAATGCATCATATCATGATTGAGGTTCCGCTCCTGCAGCTGAGGTATTAGACCATGCCCATATGCACATCTCTTTGTAAAAATCCACGAGGCTCTTCAGTGCTGATCTCAGTGGATCACTGGGCATTGGAGTGAAGGAGACAGATGATGGTGTCCGACTCGGACACAGACAGGCTACGTGTGGAGCTAGCTCCGCCGCTGGTATCTGTCGCCGCACGCGGGGACCATTGATGCATCCACACATTAATTTGGCAATTAAGCAGCTCAAGGCACATAAGACGCTCTCCCGGGGCTAACGAACAGCGTCCCTGGCAGGAGACGAGATGCAGGACCCGGGACCAGTCCGGTGCCCCACCGACGTCAACAAAACGGTACGCAGGTGGGTCCCCATCCGCGACGCACCTGCCGGGCGGGCTGAGGAGTGCGCCGCGCCGGCGGACGGCATGTCCGTGATCCCGCAGAACATGGGCCGCGCGGGATAGATGCTTGAGGGTCGAATGCAGATGCAGTATGGTGGAACACACTGTCGGTTGATCAGTGCTTTCAGAAGACCGATAAGGTGGAAGAGCACACTGAGCATTGGAGAAGTATACAGTGCGGCTTCTCCGAGGTCAATCTGCTGCGCGCATCATTTGGAGGCGCTAATGGACAGCGTTGTTGCCCACGGGCTGCATCGCATGAATACCGGTGCAGAGTGGAGGAATAAAGATAGCGCACTGCTTGCGCAAACAGCCCATGTCCGTGTTGTTGCTCCACCGCTCCAGAACATCTTGATGAAGACGCCAATGACGTCAGGGCAGCTCGAACACGCCTCCGAGTTAGGATGCTCTTCAGCGGCGCGTCGTCGAGTTGATGTCGATGCGCCGGTCGGCAGCTAAGATCGTCGTGGGGAAGCTGACGCGGCCGCAGCGATAGCATCCACGGCCCGGCCACAGTTGGGCATAAGCCAACCGCAAGCGCGGCGGCCACCAATCCGCGCGGAATCGAGTAGCCTGGCAGGCGCCTAGTGTGATATTGTGTCAGGTGTACGGATTATCCTCCATAGCGCTGAGGCGGATGGCAAGCAGCACCACGGGGCACGATCGTCTCCGGATGGCCAGCGCGCAGACCCGTTAGCGTGAGCTTTCAAGTTGCGTCGACGTTTGATTTGCCAAGTCCGGACCCACAGAGTCGGAATCGATGCGCCGGTGTAAGTCCTGTGTTAGCAATTTCGTCTCAGCGGAGAGTCTCAATACAGATTTAGACTCTCGAATAAGTTGGCATCCAGAGAAGGAGTTGTTGGGGCATGTGTATCGGCTAGTGTTGCGTAGATCTGCCCCTGAGGCTGGCATTTTGCATCGAGACGAGTTAATTCGTGTCCTCGACAGTGCTGTTGCACACACGCTGCATAGTTATTAGTATAAATACCGGACCGGAGTGGAGGAACAAATCCGAAGATGACCACTCTCCAGCGGCAGGTCCATATGCTGGAAGATGATGATCATTGTCGATGTGCGCAAGATGGTGCTGACCGAGTTGGGCGTCAGGAAGCTGAGGTGGCTGCGGCGCGGGCATCAAAGGACTGCCAGTGGTTGGGCACAAGCCAAGGTCCAAGCTTGCAGCGCGGAGGAGAATCCAGTATGGCCCAGACCACATTTTGCATACCGCGGGCAGCGGTCCAAGTTCGGTTGGGAAATCCGAGGCAGTTGCTAGTATTCCTGCTCGGGTAGAGCATACGGTCGATTTGATGACTGGTGTCTGAAGACAGAGAATAAGCTAGGATAAGAGTGGGCTTGTAAAAAAGGTGCGCTCGGTCAGTGATGTCGGGAAAGCGAGGACAGCGTAACACGCCAGGCAAAGATCTCCAGCAGCACAGTGTCGCCACAGATTTAGACTCCCGGAGAAGTTGGCGACTGGAGAAGGGGTGGTTGGCGCATGCGTATCGGTTAGTGTTGCCGTAGCATTGCGCCAGCTGGCGCCGCAGGTGTGCTGCAAAGGCTGGCATTGTGCGTCGAGATGGGCGTCAGGAACAAAAAGGGAGGCGATTGCGTAAGATGTGACTGGGCGATCACATCATGATTAGCTCCCGCGCCGGGCACGCCGATTGGCTGGGCACACGTGTGCGCTGTCAATATGTGGCAGCGCTTTCCTCTCTTCACTTCCAGCTTGGCTGCAACTGGTCGCTCCATGTTTCCGAACGAACTCTTTCACGAAGTGCTCAAAGATGTGTCGCCCGCCCAGCTCAAGCTCGTCGCTCTTGCTTCTCGTCGCCTGCGCCTGCTTGCCCGCCCATTCCTCTACAGCAAGCTTGCCGTGAAGCCATATGCGCCCGCGGGAGGAGCGCATTGCCTGGTCAGGCGGCGCCATCCTTAAGCTCCCACCTGCTCATGAGGTGGTGGATGCCATCGCAAAACTGGCCTTCTTCATGTCCCCCGCCATTGCGCCCGTATGTGCACTGCATCAATGTCGCCTGGGAGGAAGTGAATGGCTTCGCCGAAAGAAGCAGAGACGCAGTATTCAACGATGTAGCCGGCACGCACACCATCTGTGACGTGCTATTCGCCGGCATCTCCAAGTTCGTTAACCTACGCAAATTCTATGGCCACAGTCTCATATTCACGCTCTCTGCGCCGCCAACCTTGCGCAGGTCCGCGGCCCGATTGAGCTGGATCTCTTTGCCTGTTCTGTGGACTCCGAGATCCAGGCATTCCTTCGTGCCGCTATTAACGCACTCGACATCCGTATCCGTGTCTCAAGCGTCAAAGTCGCCACCTCGGCAGCATACAGTCCCACGTGCACGCTCTCAGAATGGTTCGCGCTCTTTGAGCCCATCACACTCTCCGCGGTCAGCCTGGACATGGATCAACCAGTGGAAGGGCTTACGAGTGTGCTACCTCACGTAAAACACCTGGCGCTTAGACTCTCCGAGGGCTGCGGCGCGTTGCTAACCTACTCTGGCTGTGTGCAGCTGCAAGCGGCCTTTCCCGCAGTTGAGCAGCTTAGTGTCGAGGCGGCACTCTATGTGGACGATCCGGGGCTGCCGTGGGATGGCCCTAACGGGCGGCGAACCGTTGTTTCCCGCTGTATTCAAGCTCACGACCACGTATGAAGCCAGTGAAGCTTTACCCCTCCTCCTGCGGATTGCACCGTCTATCCACACATTGCATGTCGAAAACGCTGATGCCACAAGCTTAGTGTCCGTGCTGCAGCGCAATAGGCAGTGCATCCCCGTGACAATCACGACACTCACCCTCGAATGCGACTCGGAGGACGGCGATCTTGCCGTGTGGGGCGCGGTCTTTGCACATTTTCCGCACCTGCATACCCTCGACTTCACCGTAACGATGCTGTCCGGACGCGTGCCCGCCGTAAGTGAATGTCTCCTAAGTGTCGTCATCCGAACTGTGCCCATACCCTACTCAATACTATCACAGCCTGCCGCCTTCCTCACGGGCTTCCCGGCTAGTCTTCCCTTGGGTTTGCAGCGGCTCGAAGTCAAGTACTCGGACACGAGTATGTTCTCTCGCCGTGGCCCCGGAGCGGTTCCTCGTCCGACACCTTGGTGATGCAGACAGGACAAGTGCTACGGAGGCAGCTGCTTCGCCGTTGCCCCAATCTGAGCTGGATTTCGATACTTGCACCACCCTTCCATCTCAACCTCCAGTGGACAAAGGACGCATAATCATGATATAGACACATACGAATTGAGCACACCAGATCACAAAAGATATTCAATATTGATAAACGAGAGAATGAGTGGCATTTGTATTCTTCCTTACTTGAGCTGATCTTGTGGTCAAAGGAAAGATAGGGGTGATATTGCACCGAGTCAAAGGATGCCCTGATCCAGCGGCGGGCGACCATACGTCTCCTACACCAACATCATTAGTGCATTATCCACCTCATCATTGGATAGAGAAATACGCACCGGCTCCTGCGGGTGGTTACCCAACACAGCCTCGATCCGCGCCAACACCGCAGCATCCAGCTTGGGCAGGACCTCAAGCGCGCCGAGGTTCGCCTCGAGCTGTGCGACGGAGGACACGCCGAGGATGACTGTGGAAGTGTGGCGGTGCGCCGCAACCCACGCGAGCGCCAGCGGTTCCGCCCAGAGTTCAGCAAGTCGGGGAGAAACGACGCACCCGCAGCAATTTGGCTGAGGAGACGCACTTTCCAAAGCAGCTCTTCGCCCTGGGGACCCTCCGTCGCCCCCCGGAACATGGGCACGGTGGCGAAGCGCGTGCCGTCTGGGATGCCGTCGTTGTACTAGCAAAGTTAGTTTACGTGTTAGAGGGTTGAGGAGGATATACCTTCCCCGTCAGCAGTCCGCCCTGCAGTGCAGAGAATGCGGTTGTGCCCAGGCCGTACTTGGCGTACAAAGGGCTACAAAGTCAGCATTAGCTACTGCTGAAGTTTGATGGTTGCCCACGCACGCGCGTATTCCTTCTCCGGACGTTCGCGGTGGAACATGCTATCGTCTCCTCAGCATTATTTCGAAGGAAGAAAGAAGATGGCGCAGACTTGTGCTTGCACTGCTCCGCGATCGGCGCGATGAGGTTTAAGCGCGTGGCAACATCTGTGCTGCGGGTAAGCGACGGGAGGTCTCGGGAGAGGTACACGCTCACGATGCGCCTCCTCGATCTGGTGCGCGCTCCACTCGGAGGTGCCCCAGTAGAAAGCCTGCGTGTGAATCTTAGTGGATATGGATAGACAAAATCCACCACTCACCCAGCCCTGGTCGATAACATAGTTAAATGCGCGGACGATCTCCTCCATCGGAACTAGCCTGCGTCAGTTGACCTCCTTATGGCGAATGTAAGAAACCCACCGGTGGTATCGCAACGATGCGCCGAAGATGACGTCGACATAGTCCATCTGGAGCCGTCGCAAACAAGCCTTCGTGCCCTCGATAACGCTGTTGCCAGTCAGAGTTGTAGGAAGGAAAGGAAGGTGGCGCACTGTTTGTGCGACAGCCCCGTGTCGTTCGGGCCCGTGCCTGGCTCGTGGCTCCAGAATATCTTGGTTGAGATGACGAGGTCCGTGCGGCGCCAGCCAAGTTCTTTGATAGCGTGTCCCCTGATTTTGCTGGAGTCAGAGAAAGCGTGGTCAGAAGGGAATCTCAGGGAACGCACATTTCGCGCTCAGCCGCACCTTTCTGGTAGTCCTCCGCGGTGTCGAACATGTTGATCCCATTCTCGAAGGCGGCCTGCATGATGTCCTTGACGCTCTCGCCGACGACGGAGCCTCCGAGGGTGAGCCCTGTCGAGAGCTCAGCTAAAGCCAATGGGGAATGCGCAAAGACGGACAGCCGCCGAGAGAGAAGAGCGGCACGCGCAGACCGCTGGGGCCCAACCGGCGGAAGGGCATCGCTTTTGCGTCGAAGACGGGGACTGGAGAGGACATGGGGGGCAGGTGGAGAGGAGTGGAATGGGAATCGATTGCAGCGTCGGCGAACGGGCCGGGTGGTGTCTGCGGAAGGCGGAGCGCCCGTCGGTGGGGGCAGTAGACCTATTAGTGAAATGAGCGATTGGCTCTGCGTGATGAGCAAGACATGGGTAACGCACCGTGAAAAACTTGAACACGCATAGCGACTATCAGGACCCAGTTACGCGGACGAAATAGCACACGCACCTTGTCCCCGCCGGTTGTGCCCTGCTGCTTGCCATCCGGGCCGTCCGCGGCTGATTTCACGCCGCTTGTTTCCGCCCAGTAGAGGCCGCCACCCTGGGTGTCAGACTCGCCAGCGAAAAGTGAGGGATTACTGGGGAGTAGATCAGCGAAATAGAGACTGAATGCACAACACGCACCTCAAGCCACGCCAAATACCATCGACCGTCGCAGCCCATCCCTCGGCGGGGGGGCGGGGGGGGGGGGGGGGGGGGGGCGGGACGCTCAGCGCACATGGAAGGAGAAGAACAGGCCGTGGCTCACTTGGCACTGGCGATCGGCATCAGGTCCGGCTGCCGTGACATCAATCTCTGGTTTCTTTCCTCCACGACCACGCCGGCGTTGCACCGACTCCTAGCGCACCCTGCGGGCCCACCCCTTGCAGCTGGGGCAATGAGCAACATTTGGGTTATAGCCCAGAGGGGCAATGCACAACATATGGGCTATGCATATATTTTGATATATTATATTAAGGGAACATGATATGACTAATATAAGATCATATATAGGAGGGTAAATCACCTTTTTCCAGGCCAAAGACTCGGTATGTAATATTATGGGCTTAGTGTAGCAAAAAAAAAGAGACACTATTTAATTAAGGGGGGGGTGTAGCACAAAAAGAGAATCAAAATTAAAATAAGGGGGGGGGGGGAAGAAAACATCAGGCAGGGATCAAAATCAGTGATCTCTTAGGAAAATGGTTCCACAATCAATATACTACATTAGGAACACTGATCCCATCACCATTCACCTGACATAAGACACTAAAATAGTCAAAAGAGATAAAAGTTAATAAAGAAATACTTTCGACAGAGAAAACTGGGTTATATCCCATATGTTGTGCATTGCCCCTTTGGGCTATAACCCAGATGTTGCACATTGCACTAGGGGTTCCAGCTGGCGGGCCACCCCACGCAACGACAATCCGAGGCCCAATTTCTCTGGTGCATTTCTACTCCAGACATCGCCCTGCTCGTTCTCATAACTCGGGCCGGCAGTGCGTCCAGGACTATGGTCGAATGCCACTCCCGTGCTCGTCAGCTTTCTTGCTCCACCCGCTTTGCGCGCGCGCCGCCGCCGCCGTTGCTAGCCGTTGCTGCGCTGCATCTACAAGTTTGCCACCCCCCACGGCTCTTCCTTCGCCTTAGAAATCCAGCCCTCGGGCCCGGTCCATATATCCCCTGGTGTGTAGCTCCGGTCGCGCGTTCGCCTCGCGGACCGGCTCTTTGCGCGACACGTCAACGACACTGGCGCTTTTGCTTCCTTGCCGCCAGTATCTTGACGCCCACGACAATTGTACTTAACGCGCTGAATCTACGGATCCTCTAGTTTGTCGTCCACTCAACGTGCACTTACCAGCAAGCTCTTCCGCACTGAGCTGTCCCCCGCGCATGACTGTGTTTTGGCAACGGTCATTTGATGCTTGTCATATCTATTCGACAACATGCTGGAATGCCCTGTCGTCTTACCAATCAAAGAAATATTATCGAGTTAGGCATGCACGAGTCCAAACACATGTCCGAGTCGGCGATAGATTCAATCGCTGGTCCACTGCAAGTCCAGGAATGACCCACGGATAACTATCTGCCGTAGACCGCCACACCCTTTCAGTAGTTCTGCCTGGAGCTCATCCGCGCTTGGAAGACGGCTCAATCCCACTCTTCCCGTTTGCCCCCCGGGAAGGACAGCCCTTGAGGACCAAATATGGACACGGAGACTTTCGAGAGTGGGCGGAAGGATGGTCGATAGGCTGGCGAGGAAGTGAGGGGCCTGGAGAACGGTGTTGATAGGATCAAGGCCGCAGATAACAGGACAGAATTCACCTCGCTTGGCCGAGAATCACCGCTGGACTCTTTGACACGGAAATCGAGGGTGCGCAGGTTCGGGAAGAAGGCAAGGATCCCGGACCAAAGGGAGTAATTGCCATTATCCGACTGCAATGCTACGTTAGTTATCGTGGGCGGAATATACCTCTCGATGCGCTGGAGCGTAAACAGCAGTCTCCCGGCAGCTTCATTCCAAATCTTCAGTTTGTTCACAAATGGTGTGCATGGGAGAACTGCAGGCAACACTTTGCAGGCTGTGGTCAGCTCGCGCACACACGGAAGCACACAAGCTGGCTCGCTCGCGGCCATCTCTGTGTTATAAGGCCCATCGATGACCTGAACGCACAGCTGTTCGAGTCCCGGGAAGGTGCGGCAGCTGCTCGATGCCAGAGTGGGTTAACACCAATGAATTCTGGATCCGCAATACAAGATGTCGCACCCCTGGAACACGACATCTTCGCGCGACAACCTGGCAAGGCTGAGCAGACGCTTGTCAATGCACCAAGTGAACTTGACCAGCATGGCAAGATCGAGGATGTGAATCCATGACCAGAGATCCCCTTCTGGCTCCGAATCTCCAATCGCAAATCGGAAAACCAACTCAGAGACGGGAAGTCGGATATCGAGTGCACAGGAAGCTGCAGGAAACGCACCAGCGGCACCACTCTTCCACCACATCATTCTCTCGTCCCGCGGCCGCTCGCTCACTCCTGAACTAGGCTTGACGGAGCAACGCCCTTGCACGAACAGTATATACCACCAGCCACGGTATGGCTTGCCAAAGCGGTCCCCACCCGGGCCGTCGCGGGTCAGGAGAACATCTGTCCAATGAGCCCAGGACCCTGCGCGGAGCGGAGCTAGCGGGGAACGACCCCGAGCGAGTCGAGCGGGGCATCAGGACGGTGCAGGCCTTCGCGTTGAGGGTTAGGGTCACGCTGGCAGACGGCCTTCTTCGCGGTGGGTCCCTCCGCTGTGTCGGCTGTGCGTGCGCGGGACTTATCTGCGGAGGTGTAGCTGAGCAAGCGGCACCACCCCCGACGTGCCCGGCCACCAGTCGACGCCGGCGTTCCACGAGGTTGCGGAGGCGTATAATGTCCTTCGACGCCGGCGTTCCCACGAGGTTGCGGAGGCGTATAATGTCCTGCGGGACGCGGTACTAGGTGTGCCGCATACGGTTGATTTCGTGTGCTTCACAGAACTGAGGAGACTGTGACAGACGCGCATATGACAACACGCTTCCGTGTGAGAAGTGGACGCACTTGAAGGCACTGATAACTTGGAGGATTCCGATTCAATAGTTTACAGAATATTTTCCACTAGAAGGACTACCAATCATTGTCATATTTCCCTGGGCGCCCGCTGAGCGACGCTCCGCAAGCATTTTATCCACGCGCTCCCAGAACCCCGCACTAGTCGCGCCGCCTGTCCACTCATCCTGCCACTCCGGCCAGCCGATCCCCTGGTGGACCAGGAGGCACGCAGGGTGCTCTATGAGGCGTTCGTCGAGCGGCACCTTCCCAACGCTGGTAGGACAGGACGAATACATTCAACCGCCGATGTGGATCCGACAGCACGTCCAGCAACATGTCGAGCGGTGGGGCGTCCCTCTGCAGAATGTCGTGGTACCACTCCTTTGTATCGATGGCGAGATGCGTCAGCGCACGAAGCGCCAGAAGCGGCGGCCAGACTTGCGGCCAGCGGTGGTAGAAACGACAGGTGGAGGTGTGTGATGCGCGTGGCGCGGAGAGGTCGGGAGATGCGGTCATCATGTAGAGCGAGAGCAGGTTCGTGGTGAGCCGCCGGAGGTTGGGCAGAGTTCCGAGCACGTCTGCCGTGCTAAATATGAGACCACGCGGTAGAATGACAACATCTTGGAGGTGGGGGCAGGAGTTCAGAATACTGTTAGTCTCAGACGAGGAGAGCTCTCCGTCGAGACGCAGACCGGTCGACTGCGCGATGAATGCCTGCCGGCGGGGGGTCTTCGATGAGCGCCCTGAAGGCAGACGGCGACAAGACTGGGAATGGTGTATTGAGAGTCGGACCAGCCTCCGGATCCCGAAGACTCAAGACGTTGTACAGCAGCGGCTCCACACTGGCGGCCACAGCTGGTCAGCGAGAGAAACGGACCAAAGTACGCATTGCCGGACGCACCACTCTTTCACCCACCACGCTACGCGCATCAACACTGGGATGCCCCTGGCCGCTGCAGCGCCGCCTCGCGGAAGATGTGCAGCTCGATCTCGCGGGGAAGGGCGGGTCGTCCATGAGAGTGAGAAGCAAGATGCGGGGATGAGTCAGCTGGCGACCGCGGGAATCAATCAACTGGAAGCGCCAGTGTTCCGCAAAATGCTGTATAACATCGCTGCAAGTGCCTACCAGCGAAAGACGCGACGCCGATGCGGGACAACGCTGTTGGCAGCCAGATGCCAGCGCATAGTGGACGACGCAGAGGATCGGTCGAATAACGGCGACTGCACCATTCTTGGGGGAAAATTGGCAATATGTTGATTAGTAGTGCACGGATACAACAACGTCTATTACACTGACAATGGGTGAGCCCCAATTACTAGTATCAAGTGCACAACACACCTTGTCCCTCTGCACACGACAACCATGAGACCCGCCGAGACGGGTCAAGGAAGATAAAAAAATTGTGCCACGACGACGGACAAATACGATGTACAAGGAGCCGCGTGCGCTGGCGCCCACCCGCCAGCCACATTTTATTTTTGAAGCGCCTGATCCCATGTCCATCCTGCCTCGAAAGCAGGCTGTTCCTTCCTCGACACCAGCGCGGGCCACCGAGGGCAGAATCGCAAGGTCGGCTCAGACCGTGGGGGAAAGTGGGCGGAAAAGAAGGGCGATGACCCGTGTTTGGCGGGCGGCGCACGGACCATGCTGATGCACGTGCACAGGGAGCCATCAAATTCATGTCCGTGGACACGTTGGCCGTGAAGGTTTTTGGGCACCATTGTAGTCCTTTGAGCGCAGAATGCTGCACTGTGTCCTCCGATACCCGACTGTATTAAGCTGGAGAAGGAGCTTGAGAGCAAGACCTGTCTTTCAAGTTGAGCGCAGTGGCTTGGCATCCCAGTCGGCTGTCACACGCTCAGTGACGCTCTCACGCGGCAACCATTTCTCTCCTAACAACCGTGTTGCCCAACGAGCTCCTCCTCGACGTCTTCCGACGAGCGTCAAGGGATGACCTGCACAATGTCGCCCGTGCATCGCGGCGCTTCTGCTCTTTGGCTCGCCACCTCCTACTCACCAACCTCTCGTTCCTGCCCTATACCTTTGACGACGGAGCAAACGCAGCAGTTGGAGGATAAACTGGGACTGTTTGGGTCGAATAGCGTGGCGCTGTACGTCAAGTGCATCTCTGTCAACCTGCTTAGCTGCTACTCTGGGTATTCGTACAAATTCAGCGATGTCAGGTTCAGCGACGAGGACGAGATTCATTCTATGCTCCATAGCGTACTCACGACACTCCCCCCTTGGCAATCTTCGCTACTTCAAGGCTGAACAGATAGAATTCACGACCGCGGCGCTTGGTGCGCTCGCCCAGCTACAATCACTCGAGACATTGTTCCTCATCAACTGTGCAATCCCCCTTCTCTCGCCAGCTCTATGTTCCTCCAGAAAATATCCATCAGCAGCTTGATACTCGCCGACTGCAGCGAACCGAGCTCCTGGCTGAACCTTGTAGCCTCAGCGCGTTTGGCGCTGCAGATACGATGGGAAGCAGCAGCGCCAAGTCTGGCATTACACTGCCAGGGCGGAATTGCCGTACTCCCGATATTCCTGAATACCACCCACCTCACAATTAGTATCAGAGGCTCGGAGACCAGTGAACTCGCCACCTTGCTCAACACCGCCTTTCCTAGGCTGGAGTCCCTGATACTCACGACCGACAACATTCCCTCCCCGGTAGCCCCTCCGGACCGCGATTTGCCATGCACATTCCGTACTTTGACACAGTTACAAGCCACGCTTGAGCTGGCATTGCTTATCCTTCCGCTGGCCAACATTGACAAGCTCACGCTACTGGGACCCGATACGCCAGCCCTGCTGCTCGCCCTTGCTGCCCTTCCTACGCGCGCACTTGGAGCAGTCACGGATCTGACGCTTGCAGTGCTAGAGGGGTGCGACACTAGCAGCAAGCTGGCATCCATAGCCAGCTACTTCCCTGCATTGGATCTTTTGAATGTCCACCTCGCATTTCACTATGGAGACGAATATGTACACTCGGTGGGTGCCTGCGATATCGACAAGTACAGTATGAGGGGTGACGAAATCAGTGGGACTGGGACTGGGCCACCCCAAACCAGTCCTACTGATCAGAGTCAATCCCACTGATCAGCCCTTAAGCAAGGGTGATCAGTGGGATTGATGCACTCGACGCATGCTTCCTATGACCTCGGGAATCAGCTCAGGATCAATTCACGAGCTGCGCAGCAGGCCTCCGCGGCAGCGTGGGGTCCGGGTGGAAAACCCCGGCCGCGCCCGTAACCACGTGATAAAAAGCTCCAGAGCACCTAGGAAAGTGAGAGAGGGGAGGAGGGAAGAGAAGAGTGCTCCGCAGCGGGCCCTGCGGCGAGCAGAGGCCCCCGGCAGGGTGGGTCCAGGGCAAGGCCCTCGTCCTCTCTATCGTTAACGTTTTCTTGTTTGCTGAGGCTCTCCAAATCCCCGTTAGATCCAACGACAACTGGGAAGGGAGCCTAACCCGGGAGCATTGCGCTGCTCGGAACGCTCGCATGTCCCACGACAACAACTCGGACTACGGAAGCACATTCGTAGAGCAGCTTTGAGCTGATTAATCTCACAAAACTATGGATTGCACCGCTAATGTCCTCCCCCTTACACTTCATGTGACAGCCTTTCTTGATTACGGCGCAGACATTACTCCCGCTGGTATCTCGCTGGCGAGACGTCTCACTAAGCGTGCCAATGGAGACGCTGGCCCAGCTGTTTTTGGCTGGATCACAATTTCCAATGCTACAGCGTCTTTCGATTGCGGCGTCCGAGGGTGACTGGGAGTTGAAACGACTCATAATCCTGGACGCACCGGAACTGCGATCCCTACAAATACTCTCAGTGGAGATCATTGCGCTGCATCCCTCCAAGGCGCCATTTGCACAGCTAACAACCTTGTACTTCAAACGCCTCGCTGGAGTCTCTGCTGCCTTGGACATCTTGAAGCACAGCAGCAGCCTTCAACAATTCTAGCCTGGTAATCACAATGGCTTTGTCTAGGAAAATTGTCTGACTTTGACCTCAGAGCGACGAACATCTAGTATGTAGTGCTTTTGAAGTTTTCTCGTTTAACCCTCCAAAGGCGCCGGCAATTATGACATGTAGATCACGCTTATCGAGATGGATTTCTGTATGGACGGCGCCATCCTTTCCCATTCGAAACTTCTGCTAAGCGTCAAACAGGACACCCCGACATACTCAAAATACGCGGAGATTATTGCCAGTGCGTCTACTTAACCTGCTGCTTGTACCCCACTGACCGCGCCCAGCATTGTGCGTCTGCGTCGAGCAGACCTCATCAGAGTCATCTGCCTCCATGGATGACTTCCCGCACGCATTGTGGTAGTGTCTCATGGCCGCCACGTCGCCACCACGGTCACGCGCAATTCACGGGTCGCGCTTATCGGGCGATAACAGCCACCTCTCAT